ACGAGCGGGCCGAAAATGCCCTTAGAGTGTGTGCGCGCGCTGGAGGCGCGCCTTGGGTGCTCTGATTGAGTTCTCGTAGGGAGCGCGTAGTATATGGCCGATGCCTTGGACGGGATTAGAAACCGGTCCGAGTGGCTCGGCGAACGGATTGGTTCGAACGGGCGTGCACGCGCTGTCAACGGCCAACTTCCGACGAGCGAAACGATCGGTCGGTTGTTGTGCACCCCTAACGGAGAGAGTTTTAGTATAGGCTCCGGAAAGCGGCCCCAGTGAGTGCGTGCTTAACCCATGTTTCCAGGTGAAGGCACGAGCTCCCGCAAAGCCAAGCTCTAGCGTATTCGCAACTTTCAGAACCTGCAGGGGACGCACTTGTGCCAATCGAAATGGCTGTCATCTGGATGATCGTCGTAGAACAGCAGTACGAGGCTGGGTCTGCGACGCGTAAGTAATTCTAGTTTTGCTATATAGAAGTAGTATTAGAACCTTCCTTTATCTTTTCACAACATAAAGGTGTAAGCGAGCACTTTCGTTTTGAAGCCGATCATCCAGGAGATAGGGAGCGCTATTCTCACACCGCGCGGTACCACCATCGCTGAAAGTTGCGGATACGGTGAACTAAAAGTCCATATTAGCTTGGCTTTGCTAGCGGGAGCTCGTCCAGTCACGTTGTGCACGGTATGAGTACGCGCCCTCAGGGCCCACAATCTGCAGCTGAATACCAAAAAGTCCCTATCGGCTCACTCGTTCCTTTCATCGAGTCTCTTGCCAGGAACATCGGATCCTATAAACCGTCTAATTTCAAGCATATGCCGTTGACATTTTCTCTTTTTTATCGAATCAGTAAAATATTACCATTGCAGTGCAACCATTCCATTGCGGGTACCTCGGCCGGGATATGAACTCGCTACCTGGGGATCCGTAGGCCGGCTCTTTGGCTCGGAGCCACCGTAAACCAGGCGAGATCGAAACAACTGAGTCATCGTCGGCAATATCTTTTTTCTTAAATTTTATTATTAAACATTAGGGCGCATATTTTGCTCACTCCTTTGGACGTTAAATAAATACGTTTCCGGCAAAGCATGGAGTAAGGGAAAGAGGAAGAAAGTAGCGGTTCGCATCCCTCGTATTCAAGAGCCTTATCTCTCCCAAGGTACAAAGTTTACTGCTCTGATCTTCGTCCGATGTGCCCTGTCGTTGACGTCGACTGTGGTCTAGACAATCTTTAAGAGCGAGCCACCGCATTCAGCGTCCAACCAAAGGGGCCGTGACGCGAAAAAACAACAAAACAACAACAAGAACGAGGCTACCCGCGGGTGAGAAGGAATCAAACGGGAAACCACGCTCATCCGAAGTGGAGTTGATTCTGTAAGCCTCCCAGACCGCGGCAGCGACAGAAAGAAGCGAAGACGCCTTCCGGAAGCGGCGGTGGGACCCCGATTGTGCAGGAGAAGCACGTATCGCGCCTCTTTAATTAATTGAACAGGTCCGTCCTCGTAGGAACGCAGCTTTCGAGCCAAGAAGGAGCGCCGTGACCCCCCCCCCCCGCGCGCGCTCTCAAATTTACAGCGTCGTTCCGTAATTGTAAAGACCGCGCCGCGATAATGAACAAGACGAGTCCTGCGGAAGAATTCGTCCGCACAAAGTTGGATGGGAGGGCTAGAATTAAGAGGGACCCTGTCGGGGCACCGGCAAAGCGCGCGAGCTCTTGATGCGTTCGAACGAAACATTTATCAGTTTATAATGACTCGTCCGGGCTGTCGTCCTTTCTAAGCCTTATTGATTGCCGTGCCGCCACTCGCAGCGCCACCTACCGCGACCTATGGACTCCGCATTGGTTGGGCATTTTTGAGTCGTTAAGCTGGGAGCAGGAGGAAATCTAGAAGGTCCCGAAAAAAATGCCCCGAGGACTTCCTCGCAACGGGTGCGGCGCATTAATACCCGGTATAGGTTTCCGTTAGCGTGACTAATGAACTAAAGAAGTTTAGAGTTATCGCTATCATACGGGTATCTGATAAGTTAAGAAATTAAAAAAAAAAAAAAACGGGCGGTCTCGTTTTAAATCAATCGGTTAGCAGTAATTATTGGCGTCTGAGTCCTTGGCTGAAAACCATCGCCAATATTTTTGGGGTTTCTGCAGTTGATGCTCAGGTTTTATCGTGCGTGTGAAGAATGAACTTTGATAGAAGTTACGTTAGGATCCCTAAATGCACGAACCGCTTTAAATGCGCAATCGTGGCGGCGTAAAATCACAGGCAAGAACCACGACCGATTGCTTCGCCAGACTTGGGGTATCGCCGCCTGGTGGAATTCTTCCACAACCCAGAGTGAGGATACTTCTCTGCTGGTGCAAGCACGACGTACGAACGACACGGTGTCCGCTGTAGACGTGATGACAAAATTATCAGCGGTCGTGCTTCAAGAATGCTGGAAGCATGTGTACATTAGTGTACTTCCAGCATGTCTGCGGACAGTGTATGATCAATGTGATCAGAGCTGTCATGAGACACGTCTCAGACAGTGTCTTGAGACTATTTTTTGTACGATCCATTTGCAGCGTGACCCCGGCTTAACTAAATCGTTAAAATATTATCAAGTGGCTACATGCAGAAATGAATTGTCCGATGTTGGTATTGGAATGAACGTGCGTGGCCGAGGCGAAGCTAGGATAGCAACTTTCGCTCTTTCTTTGGACCGAAAGAGTTGAGTAGTCGTTCGCCCTCGGCGTAGATGCCAACAGCTTCACGAAAAGTTTACTTTCTTCACGAAAAATTACTTTCTTCTCGGCCTCTTCTATTCTGTAGCGAGATATCATTCAGTGCGCCTTTTATGTGGATAAGGGGTCGGTGGCCGAGTGTGCTTGCGGACCGCAGCTGGGAGCACCTGGAGCGAGAGCTCAGGCAGCGGAACCCGAGATACTAAGTTCAATAGACCTCTTCCTGAATCGAAGCTACCCTAGCGGCGTAATGCCGCGAAAAGCATCTTGGGTACTGGTAGGCCACTAACTTTCGGTTTCGATTCACTCTCAGAAATAGGGGGTGTAGAGGGTTACACCCGTTGTCCCCTATGTAACACCCCGAAACAACAATTCGACGTTCGGTCCACCGACGCCGAACCGACGATACCAATTTCCACGAGCGGCTTGATAGTCGACCTATACGACATAATAAAATAGCTAATGTACGCATTAAATGCTACAGTAAGACAATCAAGGTTTGTTTCGCCCTGCCGCAAAACCTGAGTCTTTTTTTTTTTTGTAGTTTTTGATAGGCACATGTGCGTATCAAAAACGTTATATCCAACAGCTATCAAGCCCCACGTAAAAGTTGGTACCGCCAGCTCGACGTCAGTGGACTGAACGTCCAAATGTAGTTTTGGGGTAATACGGGGCGAGGGGTGTATACTCCTTACATCATAAGAGTGTTGGCCAATCTCACTTCAGGACATCGCGTCAAGACCAAATACAGTGCTTGCATTTTCGAATATGCCACTTTCCTTTAATCGTATACAATACGTACTGTAGGTGTTGTTTACATTATACGGATGGAATGCTGGGGCCCGTTTCTTTTGGGCTACCGGCGTTCCGGAGTTTGTGCGCAGGTAAACACAGGACGACGATGCACGAGGAAGAAGTATCACCTCTGCCCGTTTGGGACTGGATGAGCATCGTACCGGCGTGCGGTCGTGTACCACTACTGCGTGGTGCACGTTAAAGACCCCAGGCTAGCGGTTGCACCGCACTGGCTAAATTGCTCACCTAGAGCTGGGAGACAAGTCGCCCGTTCAGGCAGACTATGTTCTAAGCTGTATAAACATACATACACCCCAAATATTATTATTGAAGAAGTATCTTGTTCCACCGGTTCTTAATGTCCTCAGCTTCCTCAGTTATTTGTGAGCCGGATAATTTAAGAATTTAAGGGTCACGCTGCACGCGGCCCAGAATGGTATACCCAGGCCAGGCCGCCATGCAGGGTGGACAGCACGCGGCAAGTCGTACTTCGCTAAACTCCTCGCTAATCCTATAGGCAGACCCTCACGGCCGCTCGAGATTCATGTTTCAACGGGGGTGTTACGAGGATGAGTGGATGCAATGCAGGTGAACGCTGCCTTTACGCTCACGCAGTACTGATACGCACTACTACGTCAATGGGGCGATCGAAACCGAAACCATGCCACTCTCTCCATGGCCAACCATGTTCCATAAGGCAAAGCACGCCGTGTTGTGTGAGGAAATATTTGGAAGTGGTCTATCCCCGCCCTGCCCGTCTCGATATATGAGCACCGTGGGCGTGTGGTTGTGAATCACTACTGCGTGATGCACGATGGTGGTCGTGCTGAACTGGCAAAATTTCTCATCTACAGAGACGACATGAGGCGCCCGTTTGGGCTGACTAATTTCCGCTGTGTAGACAAGCTACCCATTTAAACACACACACAAAGACATGAAAGCGAAATGCACGTGCAGGCCATTGGGCATGCATTCTTAGAAACCGTCAAGCACGTCCCAATAGAAAGCGTTTTAGCGGCGCTTTAATTTTGGGGTGGATAAAAGGTAAGTAGCAGAGCTTTTGCATGCTCTCAGATTAAGGCTGTAACGTTTCATTGACTTTTGGCCGGCTAATGGAGGTCTTTCGCGGATCCTAAGCTGCGGACTGCGGTCCCTGAGGGCGTGTGCTCAATAAGTGCTCAACGTGACGGCACGAGCTTCTGCTAGCCCCCGCTGGCATCGTAAAGGATTTGCGAACAATCTACAAAAGGTTATTAAAAGATAGTTTAAGAATAAATGTCCTTAAGGGATCGCCTACTCTAAAACAGGAAGACATGAAACGTTACCTCGCGGTATTAGGGGTTTAGTTCAAAGGCCACATAACGAGCAGCCGAGTCCAACTTGCCGTGACTATAATCGGCCTTTTAGCTGACCATGGGTCGCTAACGCCGATGGGGATGGGCCACGGACGCCACGGCCCATCCCCAAGCGACGCAGAGTGAGCAGCACGCACCTTCGGAGATGAGCCTCTCGCGGATCTCCCAGGCGAAGATGGTGGGGTTCTCGCGCTTGTACTGCTCGATCTTGGCCACCACCACGGGCGTGGCCACCTTGGGCTTGCTGCCGCCGATCACGCCCGGGCGCAGAGACCCCGTCTCGTAGTAGCGCCCTGAAATAACAAAGACAGCCCCAAACGATCAGGCCACCTGTGACGAGACTCAGTCGCAATCGACTTCAAGTGCAGATAACCAAAAACAAAAAGTTGTAAAAAAAACATACGAGTGTATGTGTGTCTTTTTTGTTTGTGTTTGTGTACGTGTGTGCGCTTGCGTTTGTGTGTGTCAAAAAAATGGGGGGTGGGGGGAGGGGTTGATTGAACATATTATTCTGACTGAATGTATGGATTGTCGAACTGCTTCTCCGTGATAATTACAAAAAAAAAAAAAAACGAAATCAAGACGGAGAGGGGGAGACGTAAATAGAAACTCCCAAAAATAATCGGTGCAAGAAAAAACAATCTGTTAACAAGGGGCTACACACGTCAGAAAAACGTCGTCGCTAAAGAGACTCCTTTTTTTTTCTGACGACGCCTTTACGAAGAAACCACCTGTAGTCGGTGACAATTTAAGAGTGAAGTGGAAGCGCCTTTCACCTTTTTCCTTTCTCGCAGATCGAACGCTGGAGAGGAGTCGAGCCCCTCTCCAGCGTTCGATCTGCTAAAGTGGGGAGCAGTGGAAGGAGCTTCTCAAAAGCCTGCAGACGAAAGCCCTTTATTAAATCGGCGAACCAGCTCTTTATTGCAATTCGCGTCGACATGAGCCGCCTCGCTGACTCAATAATATCTTCGGTGTGGAGGCCTTTAGGAATGAGAAGTATTCATGAAACAGGGGTACAAATACTGGACTTCAACACGAAACGCGAGAGTATCTTCAAAGAAAACCATACGACATCACGTTCAACTAACTCCTGCAGTCTGTTCATAGCCTCCTTTCACTATTTGTTCCTCGACACCCCTATCCCGGAAGTCTCTAATTTCCGGCGTCCAGCGTAATTTCCGACAGAAACGTCGATGCGCGGCCTTGTCCTCGAATCAACGGCGGTACGAATGCGAGCCACGTGCGTGAATCGCCGAGTGCGCTACTCCCTAGCAAAAACACCATCTCCGTTTCTGCAGGAAGTCTATAGAGACACCGTATAGGGGAGCCGCGCGAAGCGACCGCAAGAGAGCCCTATCCCGCCGCGAGGCGAGCACGACCAACGCGACGCCGCTGTGCATGCGCGCGCGCGATGGGCGAGCAAGCGGTCGGCTGAACGACGACGGCGTCGCTTGTCATGCAGATGAAGCCCCGGGTTGCGGTGTGAGGCTTGGCTGGGCGTGAATGGCCGCGGGGCCGCCGCTAACGAACGCCGTTGCTGCTGCGCTGCATGCGCTGCGCAAGCTGGCTCCATAATTGCGGCTTCTGCCGCCCTCGTGCTCGCCCTAACGCACGCCGCGGCCGCGCTTTGGGCCGCCACTCGCGGACTGCGGTTTTGTTTCCAGCTCTTTTCTATTGACGAGCTCGTGCTTCGAAGCGTCCGTTGTCTCGATGCTGAGTGGAGCGGTCATCCTCGGGAAAGGAAGAACAAACAGACTTGGAGCTTGCTCGCTTGTGTGTATAGTTGTCTGTGGTGGTGGTCGCGTCCTCTCTTATTTTAGGTTTCGGCGGGCATAATACTATGTGTATGCAGATTGTGCGACTGATGGTCTTCAAAATCGTGAGTGTGGGCCAACAATCAGTCGGCTATTCACGACAAAGTTGGAATGGGAAGGCCGACGTGAAACACGCGTCATTCAGTCGTTCTCTGCGCGAGCCCTTTTTTCGTTATAATATAGAAATAACCCATTAAGATCCTCCACTATTTAACTAAATTGTTTTAGTTTTATCATCAGTTGCGTTTTGTTTTCGTTTTTTACATTCCACTGGCCTACTCCCTCTCTTTTGTTGTAGTCAGTTTACCGCGGTTCAACGCTTTCACTGTCGAAGTTGCTAAAAAGGGGGAAAATTGTTTGCTGTTATACCGCGCAGCTTTAGCTCCCACATAGGCGAGGAGCGTGAAGACGGGCAAGAGATGTGTTTACCGGCTCCTGGGCACTAACGGCTCCACATTAACACAATTTGCTAACCTCCGCTCTTCATTGATATTCAGCGTTTTTCCCTCAATTAATACACAATGAAGATTTCGCCACTGTGTCGCGCCACATCAGGCAAAGAAAGTATATGCTTGCTTATATTCTACAATTCGTCTGGCTCTGCTATGTCATTTCACCGACCACTGTGATCAACGTGAGAAACCACGGCAGGGAAGTTCAGTTGTCTGATAGGACGATTTGTGTAACACCACAGTGATGCTTCTAACAATAAATTATGCCTGCTACCGAGCTGGCACCTGTTCCTGAGCTCTAATATGGAATTCATTCGGTGGATCTGAACATACCAAAAGCGGTCAATGCTCGGGACTTTAGTGCGGTTGATGAGAACGCGCGCTTGCAAGCCCAAGAAGATACTAACAAACAATTACAGGAAGATCTATTGGCGGATTCTCAAAGGAATGCGTTAGCATGACCACTGGAAACCCCTCCGCTTTTCTTTTGGCTTTCTCTTTTGCTTCCTCTATTTTTTGCTGCCTCTTTTTGGCCTCATTAAGAGGCCAGTGTTAGCGTTTCCCAAAAGGTGGTGTGTGTGGCATTTCTCAAGGGTCATGCTAACGGATTCCCTAAGAATCCACCAACGAATCTTACTGTAATTTTTCCCCCCTTTTCGGTACTCTGCCTGTGAGAGTATGTCGACTCCCTTGGATACGGTCATCCATATCATTCGTGGAAAAAACCACACTCATACCACTCGTGGAAGGAACCGCATCTATATAAGTCATGGAGAGAACCGCATCGATAGTTCTAACTACACGCACACATCACAGCCCACGAAACGCTACTACGAAGAACCACAGCGAAGAACAGCCAGCAACGGCAGAGCGGCAGCTGAGCACGCCCGCACTCCACCGTGCCGCGGCGCAACACCTCCTAGATAACAAAGTCACAGTGCTGAGTGAGATGGCGTCATCAGAGAAGGCCAACGGTGGGCAAAGATTGGACACGACGATTGCGTCAAGGTTCGGCTCAATTTTTTCTGGAAGCTGAGCGCTGATGCAGCCGTTTCCAATCTCTGCCCAGCGTTGGCCTTCTCTGATTACACCATCTCCTGCAGCACTACGGCGTTGTTATCTAGGAGGTGTTGCACGGCGCTTCCTCCTCTCTGGCTGCGCGCCAGCTGTGTGCCTGACTTTGATGAAAACGAGAGGGTTCATTTTGACGAAAACCCGGCGGTGTCTGTCAGTTTGTCGGCGCCGTAGAGAGAGAAAGAGGATGACGCTGGCTGACGTCAGCGCTTCGGAACAATGGGAGCGTCGCGGGCGTCACCTTCTCCCACTCATTGTCTCCCTCTCCCTAGCGCTGATAATCGAAAAAAAAAAAAAAAAAGACAACCGGCGGGTTTTCGTTAAAACAAGCGTTTTAATGCCAACGCATTAAAAAGCGCACCGATATCGCTCCGTATCCACCGAGGTAATTCCCTAGTGAGTTCAGAGAGCGCTGCATGAATTTGTATCTTTTTTTTTAACAAAATTGACGACTGAAACAAATCACGCAATTGCAAGTGCTTTAGACAAATAATTAACCACAGTTCCTATATGTCAAGAACAGCCAGAGAATAATGTAGAGAGCTAAAGTGGGACGCTTGGAAAGTTTGTGTTCTCTGTAGATTTCACCTAACCTAAGAGGGCCAAACGACAGGACGTTCGCTATACAAAAATGCAAAAGTTCACACCTAATATGCCGATGTAGCAAGTTTTACACGGTTAGCTACGATTCCGGAAGAGAATTAACGTTTGGCTGCACAAACGAGTGTGACAGAATTAAAAAAAAGCTACTTTACTTTTATTTAGATACCATAAGCAGTGATGTGGTCGAGCCGAATCATTTGGCAGCACCTTTCGAAGCAGCTAACAGTCCATTTTGAAGCGTCAAAAAAATTTTTTTTTTAAGTTTTAGATTTAAAATTTTTGATTTATACGTTTACTTGTCCAACTAAAAGAGAATGTCTACTTTGCCTGCCCACTCCTGCACCACTTGTTAGCATCAATTGCACAGCAGGTTTGATTTTCACAAACATGGAACTAGTTGTTTCATTGCGCATAGAAGCAAAAGAAATGGCTACAAGATTATGTTTTTACAGCTTTTTTTTCCCCAGCCCCTTCCACTCTAAAAATTGTAAATAAAGATTGAATTGATTTGATTGATGAACAGTGAGCTGCTGTGAAAGGTTATTTTAGACATGGAGTCAAAGTCAGACCAGATAGTATATGTTCAACTGAAATAATCTGAGAATAGAATAATTTTTAAGCAGTGCATTTTATGTTTCTTTCCAACTTTAAAGGCGTAATAAATCTGGAATTGATAATTCTGATAAAAAAAGAGCTTTTTTTGTTGGGTCAAGAACATTAATAACATTTTATATGTAGAACTTCATGATAACAACAATGAGCACGCGCGTACGATAAATTTCCCTGCTTAAAAAACAATCCCGCCGAACTTGTTAAGGTTATTCACACGCTTCCATCTACCGCTCCAGCTATTTTAGTTTTTATTTACTTACTGACTGTCCGATCGAAAAGGTGGGCGCTTTATAAAGACTATAACAAAACAAATAAGTTGACAAAAAATTAACTTACAGAGCAACATATGTATATCTTCTCAAAATACCCAAATATCCTTTCTAAATCTTGACTTAAAGAAAATTGTCATAATATTACAGAATATTATATATCCTAGGCTATTAACCGCAGCTTTATGAAGAAATCACGTGAAACGTCTTGTTTTGGAGAAATGCTTTCTCCTTAGGGGTCCATGCATATCAGATGAGCGAATGACGTTTTAGCGAACAGCGACGTCTTAGCTAATAACAAGGGCGCGCGTTAAACACCCCCCTCCCCCCGCGCGCTGTGCTTACACCGCTTCGTGGCGGCAGCCTGCGGTGGCTCAATACAAAAATGTTAACCCACTTGGCACACCCACAAACGCCGCTTCACGGCGGCCGACTAATCATTAAAGTGTCATTCAGGGAAAATTGCGCT